AAGGAGTAATCTGGTCTTAACATCTTGTAACTTTTAATTACCTTCAACCAAGCTAGTCACATCATCCTTTTTAACAAAGAAAGGTGTGTGCCCAGCTTGGTGGGTAGATATTTGTGGGTACCTAGTATGTACAAGTTCTGTGTTTGGCTGGGTGTGGTGGGTATTGAAAAGGAGAGTGAGAAGCAAGATGGAGGGGTGTGTCAGGACCTTCTGGAGAGAGCCAGAACTTGTGAAGTGTTGTCCAGATTCACAGCAGATATTTAAAACCGAGAATCGCAGGCCTTCCAAAGAGGAGGATTTCCAACACAGTGTATTACGAAATGTCTTATAATCACTGGAGCGCCTAGATATAATACTGAAAAAGCATCCCCCATCCATAGGAAGGGAAATCAAAAGAAAGAAATCCTTCTCTCTGCCCTGGCAATGTTTTTCATTATGCCAAGGATAAAGCAAGAGAGTCCTTTGACAATTATTTTTTCCATTGGAGTCTGAGTTTGAAATCTGTGGCACATAAACAATAATTTAATGTCCTCTGCCTCATCAATTTAAAAATGTCAGGCCAGTTATGTACTTCTGCCTGAAGACAGTTGGCTGGACTAGAGGCTATTCTAAAGCCCACTTCAGCTCCAAGAGTTCTGGTTCTATGGTAAACCACTCAAGTGCATAGAAAATATCATACCCTTATTGGCCTCTGCAAACAAATCCATTTTTCTCTTGCACACAGTTGAAGGGCAATTTGCTCTGCTTTTTGTTTTGGCAATTTAGGAAGGTTTCCATGGTTTCTATGTCCTCTTGGTCGCTTTTTCTGTGTATCAGCTTAACCATAGATTATTAGAGGCCAACCTTGTCAGCTCTTTGGATGTATGTCCCTCAGGCATGCATTCCATGGAGGCAGTATAAACTGGCTTCAGGGGTGCCATAATTTTAGATAATACATTGGTTTATGGCCCACCATGGGGCCATAATGCATAAACAGATACCAAGTTTATCTGTGGTATTAAAATTTCCTGGTTGGGGGTGATATGAAAAATATATATATATAAAATGATTTGGAGAGAGAGGAATGATGAAAAAAAAAGGTTGAGGAGCACTGTCCTGGGGCAAGGAGTCCTCGAGGCTTTAAGATGTGTTGGGCAAAAACCGTGGAAAGAGCCAAGATGTCCATCGACAGATGAATGGATAAAGAAGATGTGGTATATATACACAATGGAATATTATGCAGCCATCAAAAGGA